CCCGCGGCCCCCGCGCCCCGCCGCACCCCCGCGTCCGCCCTGCGGCCGCCAGTGCCGCCGTCGGCGCGCCGCGCCCCGGCCGCGGCGCAGCCGCTGCTGGCGCGCCGCAGCAGTGGTGGGGCCGCGCCGCTTATGACGTTCAGCAGTGACCTCATGTGGGCTGTGGAAATGGCGATGGCGAACGACGCATGGGCGCGCGCTGCCAAGGCCGGCACGCCGGTGGCTGTCGCGAGCAGCGCCGCGGCTGAGCCCGACGCGACGAATACCGGGGCGCCCGGCGCGGCGCCGCGGCCGGGCACCAAGCGGCCGCACCCGCAGGGCATGGCCGCCTACGAGGCGCGCGGGTCCTGGTCGGGTGGCGCGGCGCCCTTTGATCCCACCTGGCCTTGAGGAATGTTTCTGGGCACCATGCAGCGCGCCTCTGCACAGAGCAACTCACGCTCAAGCTGGGGGTGAAAATACGGGCAAGACCCCACCGGCGCTGCGTGCTGCCAAGTCTCCTTTGCGCCGTGCTTCCTGGCTTGTTGCTGCAACATGTGACTTGCAACCCTGTGTTTGGGCCGAATTTCTACTTGCGGGGCGCCTGCACAGGGACTCTGCCATGCGCTTCCCCCAGGTTTGCGGGGAGGGACCCTCTCACACATCCAATGGTCCGACGCGCTGCTCCCTGCAGCGCCAATCTTATCATTGCTTTGGCGCCGCGCACGCGCCCTCGTCAACGTAGCACAGCGCCCACGAATGGGCAGAACTAACGCGCCTCGTCATGGATCAATGCTGGGGCTGACAGGGCTTCCATTCCGCTGCGTGGGATGTGTGAGCACCGGACGGACCCAGCCGGCGAGCTGTTGTTGGGCCCGTCCCGCTGCTGCTCGAGCTCTGCACATCTCAAACACGGGGCAGCACCAGCACTGTCCCGCACCCTCCCCTCTCACTCGCCCATGCCATGTGACACGCACAACGAGTTTCTGCCCACGGCGCTGCCCCCGGCAGGGCGCAGCGCTTTGCGACTGCCGCTGATCGCCAGGACAGCAGCCTTGGGATCACGAATTCATGCAACCCGCCCTTCGGTCTCCTCAATCAGATAGCGTGCGCGCCAAGTGACACGTTTTTTGATGCCACGCAGCGGAGACGCAGCGAGTCAATACAGCCTGCTTTTGGGTGCTGTTGCCTCCCCTTGAAAGGCAACGTGTCCCGCCATGTTGATGACGTCTGAGGACGTGATATAGGTCCCCTCCTCCACACACACACTCTCCACAGGCACAAACACCAAACACCGCCAACATGCATGGGGTTCTCGCGGCGGGCCCGCCGACATTGGGGATCCCACACAAGGAATACGACCCATTGCATATTCGTATGAGCACATTGTAACACAGTCGATGTTTCATGTATGGGCGGACGGTTGCGGGCAGAAGGTGCGGCCCTTGGATTGTGCCTCGCTCCTGTGCAAGTCCGAGCCTGCCATGTGGCCAACAGTCAAATCTTGGTCAGCATGCATGCTGATGCCGCCTTGTTGGTGACAGGGTACGACAGCCGCACATTCTGCGCCTTCATCAGTTCTACAAAGCAGGCTCTGGCCAAAAATAAGTCTGTGCACCCTTGGTGGTGGCCCCCCTGTGAGCCTTGGTGAGGCCTGGCACTAGGTGCGGTGGGGCTGTGTCACAGCGGCTTCGGAAGCCGGTGTCAATGCGGCGTACAGTGTGCTACACCCCGTTGTGCCCCTGTTCATCTGAAATCAATCCGCTAGTTAGTACACTCTCCGAACTGAACATACGCTCCCAACCAGGCCTGGACACACAAGTGCAGGACGTTGCAGATCACGTCCAGCTAGCGCAGCCTCATACCAGCTAGATTAATTGATCGTTTTCATGATATTGCGCACACCCTGGGGGCCCGCGAGGGTCCCCAACCTATCCGGATGTGGCAGGGCGCGCACACTGCACAAAGCAACGCACAGTGCATGCCAAAGACCTGCACGGCGTGGCAACAGGACATCGAGATCTCGGCTGGAAGTGCGGGCCAACTACGACTCCTTCAGCACCGAGTGCGGCACCACACACCGCTGCACTGCAATGCGCGTAGCGGGTTCGATAACGCTGCAGCTGCACAGCCACCCGCCGTCTGGGGCGATGTGCGATCGCGTACATTTTCAGAGCGTACGTCCGAAGCGCCCAGCGCAACTGCACAGTCGCCCGTCCAGCCTTGCAACGTGTCGCCCTGCGACCGCCTGCACCCGCCCCTCCGCGCCAGCCTGCTGGGCCCCAACTTCCAAAACCGGGCCCGCATAACGGATGAGATGATGCAGGACCTCATGGAGCTCCCGGGCACCACTGGTGGGCGGTTGGACGCCATCGGCCGCCCCCTTCAGTGCACGCGCCGCAACTGTTGCTGCCGCCGATTCGCATCCGCACACGCCGGAAATCGTGCCCTCGGCACGTCCCTGGGTGGTGCAGCGGCTCGACCACGGCCTCTGCCCACTCGACGCGCACGCGTGGCTGGCTGCCGCAGGGTTGTCGGAGCTGCGGTCAAGGGCGGAGTCGCTGACCACCTGGAAGCTGTCGCTGGGAAAGGGCGTGCTGCCCACCCCGGACCAAGTTGAGTGGCCGCAGGAGCCCTTCAAGTCGAAGTTCATGGTGGGGGTCGACGGGACGCCCCGCTCAAAAGTCAGCCGCAGCGTTCAGTAGCTGCGCCTGCACGCAGGGGGAGCGCAGGACGCCCAATTGCGTCACGGAGAACCTGCCCATTGCGCCGCGGGGCGTCGCTGCCGTCGCCATGGGACGGCAGGGGCAACCATTTTCAGGCCACAGGCGTTTCACTGGTACAGCCGACATCTTCCCATACACCAGGAAGCGCTGTCGAACCTTGAGATGGCGCGGTTCACGCGGCGCTACCCCGCGGTGCTGGAGACCCTGCTGAAACAGATGATGGCGCTCGTCAGGGTGGGCGGCCGCGGCGGCTGCGCGTGGTTGTGGTGTGCGTGTGTTTCTGCATGTTTGTGCACACGGCATCATATTCGGTGTCTCAGCCAAGGTGTGTGTGTGTGTGTGTGTATTGTGGCACAGAGAAGGGGGAGTGCTCTGTGTACCCCAGGGTGCATGAGTCTGCCGCCTCATCCCCCTTGCCCACTTCCATATGCACACACGCTTGCACGCCTCCTCGCTCATCAATCGCATGCGCACATGCCCACGACGCACTTCCCGCCGCGTCCGCAGGATTTTGAGCAGAAGCTGCTGGAAGCTGAGGCGAAGCGGGAGCAGCAGAAGCAGAAGCCGCCCCAGCAGAAGCAGGGCCAGCAGCAGCAGCAACAGCAGCAGCAGAAGAGGGACGAAAACGGGGACCAAGAGGAGGGGCAGGGGCAGGAGGGCGAGGACGGAGGCGAGGAGGGGCAGCAGGTGCGCCGGCGCCGCCCCTAGGCATGCTCGGGGCACCTTTGTCGGGCGGCGGTCTGTGCCATTTATGCCGGGTGGGGCGCTGAGTCAGCGCTTGCACCCTGCGCTCAAGCTTGCTGCGCTTGTAGTTGGACGACGAAAGGGTGGCAGCCTGCATCTGCTCACCGCGGCTGCAGACCGCAGCGACTCTCCCGTCCAAGCCCAAAGCGGCGCCACGCCCCCCGCTGCCATCCACCTCTCGCCTCGTGTTGTCAGGGCGAGCTCACTCAGGAGCAGCTGGAGCAGGCGCTGCAGGAGGCCGCCAACGGGGCGCCCCAGGGCAGCAAGGAGGGGCGGGAGGTCAAGATCACGCTGGAGAGCGCGGAGGGGCAGCAGGACAAAAAGGTCCAGGCGGACAAGTGAGGGGCGGTGGGCGGTGGTGGGAGGGTGAAGGG